ACACAAGACCAAACGTGGCAGCAGTCCTTCGATCTTTTAACGAGGAGCATCATCTATGGTGCCTCGCAGGAGCCCATGGATTGAGCACACTCGATTTGGGTCATGTTAGTGGACTAGGTTAGTCGTGCTTGGGTCATGTAGATCTGGTTTAAAAACCTTTGTCTTGTATACAACCCTTCATGGCTCGGTTCGGAGTGAGGTGGTGGTGACTTGTATGGAACCGTTTTTCTATCTCTTAATACAATGATACACAGCTCTCCTGTGTATTCGAGAAAAAAAATCTTGTGACAAAGATGTTAGGACAAATTTTTGACATAGTGTTGTTCCGAATACACGCAAAACAAAGATTGCTCTTAAACATTGTACAAGACAATAGCTCTTCATAAAAAGTGATGAGGGACTCCCCAATGTCCTCCAACTCGTCCATGATGCTTTCTCACCTATCATCGACCCTACCATCTTCCAGCATCTTATCGATGTTGATTTCGAGGTGGGTGAGTTTCAGGTATGCGAGAACGTGGTACACGCCGTTCTTCAGGACATTCCATTCGCCCTCGAGGGCTTGGTTGGAGTTATCCAGGAACACTCCTTTCAATGATGCAATTGGACTCGAAATGAATCTCAAAAGTGGATTTTTATAATCCTCGGGTGACGGTTCGTATTTTGAGGAAAGTGGAGAGATTCCTGGCAGAGAAATAGCGGTTTTCCATATTTTGATGGTTGAGTTTTGACCTTTATCCAAATTTGGATTCCAATAACATTGTGGCCCAGTCCTATGAAGAAAAACCTTCTTGATGCCTCTTGGGCCTAATCGGTGATCCGAGTACGCTCAACTCTGTTATGGTTCATCTTTTAGAAAAATATATAACAACATTGTAATAGTCATTTGCATTGAGGTTGGGGGCTACTGCCTAAAATTATACCAGTAACCATCGGGAATACCGCATGCCAAGTTTCATTCATAAGGGTATATCTGAGTATGGGACTTCTACAAATAAGATGGTGTTAGTGTTATAGATAAGGGATACCCAATAGTCTTGGGTTGGACTCGCTGGGGCCCATTATATATCAAGTCTTATACGGAATCATACCTCATATACGGAAAGTATTCCGGATAAGGAAGGAGAAGCGGAATTAAAATGACTACTTGAATCATATCCATACTTGTCTGCCTAGTTCTATTGGACAAGGGGATATCCGATGGTATAAATACAGACCCCCTGAGACAAGGGGCAAGATGCCAATACAAGCCAATGCAGATCTAGCAAAACCCAATGTAGGAGCCACAAAGACCGACATGAGGGATCTAGAGACAACTCCAATCTTGCCGAGTTCATATTCGAGGAAGCTGACTATGCTAGCCGTCGAGTGATACTAATATATAAAGGCAATACCGGCTTCGGCCAATAGGAATAGGGTTATTACCTGTCAGTTAAGGGGGTCCGAACATGCATAAAATTTTCTGTCTCCCATATCTTTTACCTCAATCTTGTGTATACCCTGGTTACAACGATCCCCATACTCTACAAATATTGTGGTTGGGATCTACTCCCTCTACTCTACAAATATTGTCATATTGCACCCATGCCTTCTCATCAGCATTGGCTACTCACTGCCTAAGTTTCATAATATTGCCATCTCACAGCTCCTCCTGCCCCCTCCTCTCTTTTTTGTTAACTTTGGTTTTCATAGTTCAAGAATATGACACACTTTGGGCATTGGTAGGATGTGTTAATATTGCGAAATGACAATGGAGAAGTGGGCACTGAAAAGAATAGTCGATCGTGTGTTGCCTAATCGTCAGACAGTTAGATAGTAGATGAAGCATTGTTGTGAGGCTGTAAGCTACGGCACAATTCTAAGCACATATAGTGGACTACCACTTGATTTCAGGACTACAGAGTGGTGAATTTGGTAGAGGTGATGTAAGTATAGTACTGGTCAGTCTCAGAAAGGGTTCCACCTTTGATCACTTCCTAGAATGTATGTCATGGATTAATTTGTGGCAAAACATAAAACATCACACCTGAAGTTAGCTGCTTACTTGGCATGTCTTCGTACAAGTTCTGCAACCGAGAGGCGTGTTGAATTTCTTTCCTTTCAAATAGGATTTCTATCTTTACAGACACAGAAAATTTGGTGAAGGAAAATCATGTCCATGGCAAATGGCATACTTTTCAACAGAGCTGAGCATCGTGTATTACGTGCCATCAAAGCTTTGAGAACTGAGACTTCAACGTTTTTCCTGTTAATGCGTGTTGAAAAGGGTAGTCTTTTGGTGTAGGAATACTGCTCCAGTTGCAGAGAAGGGGAAGCTGAGGTCCTGGGTTGGTCCAAATGGGCAATACTATCATGAGCTGTGTTGCCCTAGCTGTCGAGGTAGAGGATACACTCCTTGCAAACAGTGTGGGATTGACAGATCCAGTTTGGACTGTCCTATGTGCAATGCCAAGCTGAGCCTGCCGGATATGCTGTAACTTGTATAGTGGAGTAAGACTTATTATCGACCATAATATTTGATTTAATGGGATCCACTAATCTTTTGAGCATATAAATACTAGCCTTTTCTTTATGTGTGCAAGCTTTATGCTGTCATTTTGCCCTTGTTTATTGAATAAGCAAAACTTACTACAGGCATCAATATTATTCTACTTCCCTTTCTGTAGTCAACAGCAAAAATCTCAAGAGTATAACAGATGTTTTCTTTAAAACAATCTCGATCACCTTTGGTTTCATTTTAATTTTAAAGGCACTGGTTCATGTACTTAGATAGTCCCAAAACTTATGAGCCAAACCAAAGTCTAAACTGTATTTTGGTGAATGGTACAATAACGTAGGACAGCCCAACTGGATATACACAATGCTGTTGTTTTCATGCATAGTTTCTATGTACTTCCATCCATCTTTTCCTGCTCCTTCCATTGCTGTGGTTTTCACCATATTTTTGTACTTTGAGTTCAGTAAGCTTCATGATCGCGGGTGTACTTGCACTATTAAGGTTTCCAGTACAACTTGAACTGAGTAGTGACCCTATTATCATTTTTTAAATACAATTGTGCACTTGAGTTAGATGAATGTCGAAAGAGCAACTGTATATGCCTTCTGCAGCCAATAGGTACATGGATTAGTGCAAGTAGGTGAATGCTCATAACGATTTTCTTTCCTTTTATGATCTTGACATCCCATGATACTTTGCCTGCCATTTCTTTGAACTGAACTATGACGAAGTTATTTCATATACTGATGGGCATCTTTTTTTTCCTTGGTGCAGGATACAAGATGATGTATTCTGAAAGCATGATTGAGGACGGACTGAAGGAAGCTTATTTGTGATTCCTTTCTAGAACTAATCACAACTGCCTAAGCAATAACAACCATATTTGAAGGAAACTATATGTTCTTTTGTTAGACTTGAACGCCAAGTTGAAATTGTCTTTTGGCATTGCCTTTTCTGAGATAGACCTCTCTCCTCAAATTTCTACAGAAAAAGTTGTTGCACGATTAAAATTATCATGTACAAATTTTGATTTTTCTACATATTGTGAATGGATATCAGAAAATATAGTAAACAGGAAGAAGAAAAAGGCAAATTTAGAATGCTATTGTATAGGGTCCTATGATATTATGTATTCCCTCTGTTTTACAATGTAATACTTTCTAGCATGACCCATATATATATATATATGTTAATAAATCTAAACACATACATATGTCTAGATTCATTAACATCTAAATAAATATGAACAATGCTAAAAAGTCTTACATTGTGAAACGGAGGAAGTAGTGCCATCATCAGTTTAACTAACCTTCATTGTTTCTCTTAACCCTTCTATAAAAAATCAAACTATATTTTTCCTTTTTTGTAAAGAATTTAACTGACTATTATCTTTGTAACAAACAACCAATTATTCTTACTATTGTTACTTAAGAAAAATGTATATTGTCCCCCTTTGTGATACTAACTGTATCACGTACTTGATTATATACTACTGTATCTCATTTAGTTACTTTCAATTAACACTATGTACACATTGACGGGCGCTTATTCATCTAGTAGATTTAAGGCTGCTTTCGGTTGCAGGGGTTCCAACCCCTCTCTCTCGTTTTCCGCGCGCACGCTTTTCAAACTGCTAAACGGTGAGTTTTTGACAAAAAAGTTTCTATACGAAAGTTACTTAAAAAATCATATTGATCCATTTTTTAAAAAATAGCTAAAATTTAATTAATCACGCGTTAAACGTTGCTTCGTTTTGCGTGTTGGAAGTGAGGGTTCCAAATCCTCACTCCCAAACACATATAACGTATCATCCCTAACTTGTGAGTTGCCCTAGCCCATATCTAGTGACTCAGATAGGGAAAGGTGTCAATCTATATAAGCATGATAGATGGTACAAACTCGTGGCTGTATTCAGCTGCTGTGCATCGCGGCTGCAGCCGCTGCACTGCAAATCCGCAACAATTGGATCAACAATAGAAACACAATAGAAACACTGTTCAAGCTGCTGTTGTCCAGCTGCAGTATCTAGCTTCCAAACAGAGCCCATATCTTCAACGAACGGGACTATCTACAGAACTTATGGCTGTATACATCTCTTGGGATATAGAGGCCAGATTTTATTTAAATCCATTATCTAAAAAATCTACACAACTTGTGACAGAAAATCCCGCCCTGTGTCATGCAAACTTTTTATCATTCGATTAGCTTTAAGATCCATGTACAACATTTTCATTCGATTAGCTTTAAAATCCATGCACAACAGTGATCATATCCTTTTTCTCGCCGCACGCACGCACGAGCGCCACACTCGCCTCCTCCAGCACGCCACCGCCTGGCCTCGGCGCCTCACCGGCAGGCCAGATGGCGCGAACAACGTTCCTCCGCCAGCCACCCAAGTCCACCGCACCCTGCTGGAGGTCCACCCTCCACCATGCACAACATTATCATTCGATTAGCTTTAAGATCCGTGCACAACAGTGATCATATCCTTTTTCTCGCCGCACGCACGCACAAGCGCCACGCTCGCCTCCTCCAGCACGCCGCTGCCTGGCCTCGGTGCCTCACCGGCAAGCCAGTTGGCACGAACAGCGTTCCTCCGCCAGCCGCCCAAGTCCATTGCACCCTGCTGGAGGTCCACCCTCCACCGGCCAACGAGTCCACCACACACTACCAGACCTTCGCCGCCCACGGCCATCCCTCTAAACCATGAGAAAACATCTCTCTTCCCCCTTCCCCATCCCCCTCCCACCTTGACCGCAGCCCAAAACCCTAACTGTTCAGGGCCACTGCCACCTCCCCAGAGCTGCCTCGATTCACCTAAGATGGAGGAGGTTGGCACGAATTTTAGCACGGATCTAGCGGTCCAAAATTCGATAGAAATCCCCCTTAATTTCTGTCGCATGAAGTTAGCAATTCCATTAAAGAACTCTCATGCAAAATAGTAGTGCAACTGAACATCTCAGATGCAAAATATTTTTACAGGGATCATCTCATAAGCATTTTCTAATATAGGTCGAACTGTCTGTTGCTTCTAATTTTCTACTTCCAAAACCCCCAGAACTGGTGTCATTTTCAGCCAGGTCAAAATAGATCCTGAACTCTGACTACTGCAGGCATTCCTCTCAAATATAGTAGCAGTGGTTTATAATGAACTGATTAGACGCTTGAGATCAAGAAAACATCTCAAATTCGTTGGGCTGGGAAACACACTCAATGGCATGGATCAATTTCCTCCGTGGACCTACAGCATCAAGACCCATATCTTTTAGCTGGTTCATTGTAAGGGAAACTATCTGATACATCCCCAGCTTTTCACTGTCCAGTATGTCGACGAACCATCCGAAACCACAAGTGAAAAGCCAATTCTTCAGCCCACCAAATCCAGCAACCCGTCTCTCGAGAAGTCGTGCTCGCATTATCCTATTCGTAACTTGGGAAGAAATAACTGGCAGCTCTTCCTTATAAATGTTTCCAAACGAATTTCCTGCTTTCTCAATATTCTCATGAAACAGTCCTTGGATGGAAGCATGGTTTGCTTTAACAACAGGGGCAACAGGATGGTGAGAAGATGTAGCAATTTCTTGAGCTTTCTTGATGTTGGCAGAAACTTTGATGCCCTCTAGAAGTGGCTCCTGAGCTTTGTTGGTTGTCATCTGCTTTGGATGCTTCTTTCTTGCAGCATCACAGTTTTCCATGCTCTTTTTGGCTATACAAGCTTGTTCAGAACTTATTTTTTGCATATCATCCTGAAGACTTGCAGCTGCAGGTGATGGTGGAGGGATCAGGATGGTGATTCGCTGCTTCTTGACTATCACCCAGTCATCATTCTCATCAATCAAAACCTCTGAAGGTGGTTTGTTACCATCGATGCCTGACATGTCTGCTGCCCAGTTTATAAAATGCCCTTCCTATGGGAAGCTCAAAATCTCCTTACTGTTTAGAAGTGCTACCTACAAGCTACAAGATGAAAAATACGTAGAAGTTTAATACTTATCTTATATTTTCATGAATCATAGAGAATTGAAATGTTAAGTACAGTTTGAAAGTTATATATTGGTAATTCTGGATCCATGGAACATATAGTTAAGTATACAGTTCAATATAATTAGTAACTCTCTGGCACAGACACAAACACATAGTATCAAGGGACTCAGGACACGACATGACACATTCACATGGATTCACCGTGTTTCTGAAAATGCCAACATGATGACATTGTTGTGTACATAAAGAACAATCGCATCATTTCGTTTCGCCTATGTGCAACGGCTAAAACAATAGTCATCAGCAAGCATGAACAATTATCCTGATTCCTCAATTAGAACACTCATTAAGTTTTCCTTGTTACTACATAGACCATGCACATTCCATACACACTATCCTGATTCCTGTGAATTATAATCAGCATGAAATTAATATTGGCTCATCAGACAAGCCAAGACAAACTAAGAACAAAAATGAGGATAATCGGATGGGTATGTTCCATCAAACACTAACTACGAAACAAGGTGAGGGAAGAGCACGCATGTCACACAAAAGTCGCCGGCGAGGGAGGGTACTCCAGCGCGCCACGCTAGCTACCGCAGTCTCGCAAAGCAAAAGAGGAAGCGCGGCACAAAGAACGCCGCATCTGAAATCCCCCAAATTACGGCTTAGGCTAGACGGTGCAGCAGCCGCGAGCAGCTTGCAATCACACGCCCAAAAAAAGCTACAGATTCCGCTGATTTCTCCCCCGACCCTTGCAGCAGGGGGCGGACCTAACTGGGGATTGGTGGAATGAGATCCACTGATCCAGGCGTGGAGGGCGGTGGAATACCTTGGAATCGATGCGAACGAGGAGGCGGCAGGCGGCAGCATCGGCCCCCCTGGCTGGCTCCAAACCCAGCGACCGGCCGTGCGCGCGAGGAGGCCGAGCAGGGGAGAAGGGCTAGGGCGGGGTTGGGAAGGAAGAGGCGCCTCCGGGGCCAGTTCGCCGGCGGCTGCGTGCGCGCGGCGGCGAGGCGGGGGAGAAGACCGGCGGTCACTTTTTTTTTCTTTATTTCTTTTTTTCTTTTTTTTTTTTGAAGCACGAGAGAGGGGATAAACTGTGATGATTGGGGTGACTGTCAACGGAGACGGATAGGAATGATTGGATCCAAACTTAGGTAAATACTTAAATGGGTGCCTCCTTTTCTCACTTTTACCGTTTTCTAACATGTGCTAGTTGTGATTTTTGCATGCTTGTTTAGCTCTATCTTCAACTAGCTTGCTCGTGTAGAAAGTATGCTTGCATAGCCCGTTTTTTAGTTTGCTTCTTGTTAAATTGCCTAAGTTAAGTTTCATGTGTTACCCAGATTATCCTATCATGGTCAAAACGTTCGAAACGTCCGAGTCATTTACTCATTTTTCTGTCTTGCACTGACCGAGTTCGAAATGTCCGAGTCATTTACTCATTTTCCTGTCCTGGCACTAACCGAATTGTCTGATACGGTGCCAACCAAATTGTCCAACTGCATCCGTAGTCGGACCGTCACATCCGGTATCCGACTATCTCATTCGGTCTAATTATTCAAGTTTTTGAAATTTTACCCCCCCCCCCCCTCTCCGAGACCCTTTTTAGTTAGGGTTTAAGATATTTGAATCATATATAGGTTGTAAAACTTGGGCTGCACTAGTCTTAAACCTTACACACTAGGTTAGTTTAACTAGATGATATCGAGCGTGTTGCTACAGAGACAGTTAAGTATTACTTAAGAGTACAGCGAGTGAGAATGAACATGAACTATCAAGATGTTGTGGGGTCATGCGTGTGCTCCTCTATAGAAGTAATTCCAGTTAGTGGATTGTAGCTATAATAGGTTTTCTTGTAATTTAATTTTAGTTGTTAGCCTCCCTCCCTAGTCATGATAATCTTGATAATCATGAGGGAAGAGCACAAAGGTGCAAAAACCGTTTTATCTTGAACTAGGAAGAATAACTGAATTATAGAGTAGCTTGTTAGTCTGAAGCACGAACCCCACATATAACATACTACATTCCACACGCAGACTCTGCGTACCAGAAGATTCAGAACCTTCCCACTAAAGATCAGAAAGCTCAAATCTATCACATCTACTAGTGGCTAAAATACTTCAAACATCAAAATCTCAACTATGTCCCTATATCCTAGCGATCACAATTCATTATCAATGATATTTCTGATCATATCAATAGGAATCAGTCCCTCAGTCCTTAGGGCGTCTTTGCTTTGATCTGGACTGAAGAAATACAGTGTTGGAAGTCCTCTTACCTGTATTTTTCACCCATGGTGAGTGTTCAGAAAACATTGTAAAAATAAGTTATAAACCAAAACAAAACTATGATTACTATTTTCTTTGCTCAGTGTGTGCAATGATGTGTATACCTGCATATCTCTTGCAAGTTCATATTCATCATCAGTATCCACCTTCACAAACAGGGCATTGTTTTCATATTCAACTGCAAGCTGACACATTATATGGCAGAAATGTTGAAATCAGTTGATAGTACAAGAGGATGCAAAAAATGAGTTTGCATTATAAGTATATATGGCACTTGGTGAAGTTACTTGAAACCTATAAGTATTACTTCCTCCGTTTCACAATATAAGTCATTCTAGCATTTCCCACATTCATATTGATGTTAATGAATCTAGATAGATATATATGTCTAGATTCATTAACATCAATATGAATGTGGAAAATGCTAGAATGACTTACATTGTGAAATGGAGGGAGTATAAAAGAATATTAGGGAAGATCTAGATACAAATGTGATGGAAACACTATTGTTGAATATATTAAATCAAAGTTTCTTCAATAAATTCAGATTGTCAAGAACACTGGGGTGGAGCTTGCAGGAAAGGCAATATTGTCTCTGACAAATTCAGAGCATACAAAGAATACCACCAGCGTAACAGCCACAAATTTCAGGGAAGATTTTGGAATGGACATAGGCATCTTGCACTGGCTATATCATTCCCTTTCGTTATTAGGCACAGACATACACGTTGGGTCTGCCATTTCTTTACTAATCTAAGTAGAGAATGGTTAAAATTGTTGTAGTCTCATTTTGGATTAGAATCTTGATAAGTAAGTGCTTAATTAACAAGACTAGAGTATTCATGGCACATGACACCTACTAACACCCCAGTTCAGTTTGGTGCTAGCTAGACATTCAGAGACCCTAAATCATACAAATGTTTTCAAAATCATGTGAAGCTTTAAACACTCCCTAAATCAGTTTAATGTATGTTTTCAAACATATGTGAAGATTGTTTTTTTCTTTTTCTTATGGGTGTTTCCTCTTTCATTGCTAGTAATAACTCTACGTGGGAAGGGTGCGCAAACTTGTAATTGGTCAGAGAGTGTTGCCCAACGTTAGAGAGAAGCAAACACTAAACGGGGAATGTAAGATTTGCAGGGCACATATTACCATCTCGATGTCCTGGGCCATGAGGACGCAGGGTCCGCACCACGTCGCGTAGAAATCCACGATGAGGGGCACCTTCCTCTCCCCCCTCACCAGCTCCTCCAGTTCCTTGGCCGTCACCTTCTTCTGCAACCATGAAAGGAGGAAGGAAAGATATATCCCGTTTCAGATACCCAAGTAGGACTCGATCGAGCAGACTCCTCGAACGTAGCCAGGCTCACTGCCAAATGCGAGTCGAGCCTTGCAGGATCGTACCACGAGGTAGTCCGGGGCGATGTACTTGCCGGAGCCTGGGACGTAGGTCTCGGCTGCGGCATTCCGTCGAACGCCTTGCGCGCGACACCCACCGAGGATGACGCCGAGGCCGACGCCGCGGCAGCGGGAGCCGCCATCGCAGGAGAGGGAGGCCGTCGGGGTGGAGTTGCGGGGCGGGCGGAAGGCGCGTCCGGGGAGGGTTGGGGCGGCGCTCGCCGGCAGGAGGGAGGCGGCCGCGGCCATGGCCATGGCTGGGGGGAGCGAGTGTGGGAGAGATAATCCTATCCTGTCTCTGCCTCGCGAGCTGTCGCTACTCTACTCGAGTAAAAAAGGCGAGTTGCCTGTGAGTGATGATGTGAGGGGTAAAAGCCTTAAACATTTGGTTTTCGCTAAATATCTGTCTTGAATAAATCCTGAACTTTACCTAAAAAAACTACAATCACTTCTCCATCCATCTACTTTCATCCATCTATTTTTGATAGTTATATTTCTAAATCTAAAAATTTTATTTTTGATAAGCATATTTCAATCCAACAACTTATCCTCTTAATGACTTTTTTCGGATTTAATGCGTGACTCTTATTTTTCCATACAAGATTGGATACATGAGTATCGAGAAATATAAATATTAATAAATCGCTTGTTTACGAGGAATGACTAGTAACATGTTTAAATGAATGAGAAGTAGAATTACTTATCCTTGGTCTGTGTACCAAGATAAAATATGATTATCAAAAGTATATGAAAAGAGTACAAAATTCTTTCAAAGTGAACAAACATTTAGACAACATCATAAATACTGAATAAAAACCAATACATAGAAAGAAAGCAATTATTGAATCTTCATCCATATATGGCAAAAATCTACGTGACGGTAAGTTCTAAGTTTTAACATGTAGAATATATGAGCTCCTTGTTTTCTTCGCATTTTTTAAGCTATGTCCAGAACCATAAGAGCACCCGCAATGGTAAAGTAAGATACTATCTATAAAACATTGTCCATATTAGCAATAGACTAGATTAATAGTAAACCACTTCAATGATGTCTACATGGGTATCTATAGCTCTCTAATCCATTGCCTCGTCTTTCTCTATAGACTATCTCCAGGTTAGTAGATAGCTTTACTCTCTCTCTCTTCATTTAATCTCTTCCAAGTAGAAAAATATGCTGATATGGATCTCGTGTAAAGAGTCTATAGATAACCATTGCGGATGCCCTAATACAGTACCCACACATTCACACGAATCTTAAGGCCATCATAGAGCAATAATATAGGACCCGCAATGCTACAACATACATGTCTTTTCGTAATCTTAAGCTAAACCCATGAATAAAAAAGACTATTCACCCAAGAATCAAAGGGTAAATTTATGTTGGAAATGCATAAAATATTTTTCATGGTTGTCCACCATAACAATATTCCCTCCTTATCATAGTAAAAAAAAAAAAAAGGGATCGGTGGTCGACCCACTCTGACCGTTCGATTCACCGATCAAACCGTCGGGTCACCGGTCGAACCACCGGTTTTTAATTTATTAATATTATATTTGTTTTGCATTATTTTTAATATAGAACCATCACAAATTGATGAAATATGCATAAATAAACCAGTATATCTATTATTATATGACCACAACATAAAAAAAATAAATGTAGTGTAACTTAACAAACCCATAATGTCATACTGCCATATGACAAATTAAAAACAACTCGATTCTAAAAAAACCACCGCCGAGGTTCACCAGTTCAAATAAAACCTACCGGTTCACCGATTTTTTACCCGTTCGATTGCAGGGATAGTCTTTGAGCTGAACTGAGCTGCCAAGGTCACTGGCTCCAGTTTTTTCCGGTTCAACCACCGGCCAGGTCCCCTTTTTTTACTATGCTCCTTGCTATTCTCCCAGTATATGAAGGTGGAATAAATAATGAGGTTGTCTACGACCCATCGTTCCTTATCGAACGCCAAATCTTCTATTCTACTCCCTCTGTCCCTAAATATAAGAGATTTTGATAGGATGTGACACATCCTAGTATAACGAATCTGAACAAATTTCTATCCTAGTACAACGAATCTGAGCAAAAGTCTATTCAGATTCATTGTACTAGGATGTGTCACATTCCACCAAAATCCCTTATATTTAGGGACGGAGGGAATACTTAATTAATTTGTGCTGAAAACAAAGCACCAAGAATAGGTCTGTTCAGATCTTCAAATTGAAATTCAGTTTACAATTATTATGTTCTTAAGCGAAAGTAAAATAGCCATGAGAACCAAGCAAATAACACTGGGACCAAACACCTATCCTGAAAAACGGATGCCATGTCTGTATCGTTCATAAATCAGGCTTTCATTGAGAACACACAACTTGGGATTCACTTTCCAAACACATTGTTAACTCAGATTTGTGCTACCAATGCCGACGTGAATTTCTCCGTCGGCAAATACACAGCTCCCAGCTACTGCTCCCCTGCTGCATGCCATATGTTTACTGCAATGATCAGCTCCCAGCTACTGCTCCCCTGCTGCATGCCATATGTTTACTGCAATGATCATCTCCTTTTATCTTTGTCACCTGATAACCATTTACAACACTGACTTAACTGAAATGCTGCACAAACCACCCGATACATTGAGACGGAGCATCTGATATAGTGATATGTTAATAATCGTGCGATGCTGAAATGACCACGCTGAAAGTACTACCGGCTCAACAAAAATATCTGATTTCAATCTCTCAGATCACTGGGGAACGCCAATAGCATTATCATACGATGCAATGTTCAGACGTGGATGGAACTTTGCATGCCAGGGGCACAACAGGTTGGCCCCCTAACTTCTAACTACGTAACATCAGGTTAAGGGCAGTAGTGCACATTTTCCAGTTGGTGTATACATTTTGTATTACCTTGGTTGCAGATACTGCTGCTGCTGCGATATTTCCAAATCTTGTGGATGCGATACCGTACATACACTATATATCCATACTGATGACCTGGTAGAAGGCATCACATTACAGCATAACTTTTCAGATATCCCTGCTTGAACTCACGATTTTCAGTGAATGAAGATACGCATTTGAATGCTTGACCAGGTGACGGTAATCAAGTTCTTCGGCATACCAAAGACGCCCTCTATTCAGCACAAGATAGCTTGCCAAAGTCCAAGTCCCTTGTTGACGAGCGTATCAAGGTAGCCAGATAAAGAACATTAGCTTGCCGCAGCCCATGTCACTTGCTGACAGAAAAAGCATGATTGCATTATAGATAACACCGAACTTCAGATCTGTTACATGGAGGTGCGAGCATCGCTGTTCTGACAGTACTGCTCCAGTGTCATCCCATGGAACACGTGAACATCCCTTTCCTGAGATATTTTGATGGATAAATGCATCCAATGGCACCGAGACCATTAATTGGAATTTCACGGATCCTTTGCTAACAATGCACATGGGCAATACAACATGAATTAGCGATTTGAGTGCTGAGATTGTGGGGTGGACGGATAGGATAATTCAGATTGTTCGCCACTCCGTAACTTAGAGCCATCACCCTGCAGAAAACAAATAATGAGTAGAGTCGCTCTTACAGACTAAAGGCATCATTCTCAAGAGTATCCACAGAAAGTACACAATATTCTTCAAACTGATTTAAAACATAACACGTCAATATTAAACATCACCTGTGATGCTTCGGATTGTTGACCATGCTCCATCTTCATGTTCCTTGCATCCTGAAAAGAAAACAGTTCCTGAGAGCAATTGGCAAATAAGATATAACTGTTGTAAACAATAAGAAGCTGAGATGAATTTAATTATGAAGAGAGTAAAAAAATCGACAAGAATGCATAAGAGAACTGAAACTACTAGAACAATGAATTACTAGAGAAATCTCAGCACCCATTGGCACGCCGTTTGTTTAACATGTTCATGTTGTTTAATGCGCTTTTGATTTAAGGCCTCTAAAAGGTTTATGAACGAAATAACTAGTGGATTTATTGGATAGATGCCTGACTGCTTAATATTCACAAATGGATAGATAGGATATATAAAATAAAATGTGGTGGATATTGGTGTCCAAGGGAAAGGAAGTCAATTTTTTTATGGAGCTGTGGAGAAGGCCGCCATGCAGTGGTGCCACACCATTCCGCATAGCTTGGCTTGATCTTTAGTTTTTCACTTTTCCTTGGATCTGTGGTTTGTTTCTCCATTTTGTTTCCATTTTCCTATTTTCCCTTAATTGTTCTCAATCTTCTTTCTCATCTTTTATTCTCTACTATTTTTTGTGTGTATAAGTATATTTAATACCACAGGTCATAAGGAGTGGTTGCAACCTTGGCATCTATGAACTGAACTGGATTTGTTGGATGAGGAGAAGGGTGGATAGTTTGGCTATTTGTAGACATTAAAATTATGGCATGTTTGATATAAATGCTATATCAATTATTTAATTGCTACCCTGCATCCAGAAGGACATGCAAACCTTGATCTTGGGAAGGAGCAAATATTAATGCCCACCAATGGCGGAGCTTCATGGAGGCCAGACTCGGTTCTGGCCCCTCCAGCTCCACGCAAATTACACAGTGTTGAATGTAGGTTGTATTAATAGATAGTGATTAGCCATCGTTAACAGCTTATTTATGTAGAACTCATTTTAGTGGTCCCCTCTTGATAGTCTATGAAGCTCCGCCACTAATGCCCATGTCTCAAGTATTTATGAAAATATAAATGTGCATATGTTTTATTTGCTACATCATACTCCCTTCGTCCCTAAAATACTTGTCTTAGATGGTCAAAGGCAAATTAAGCAAGAGACTAAAAGACTACCATGCCCTTCATTAATATACGGAGAGAAAACGAGGGGGAGAGAACAAGAAGGATGAGGGAGTACTATTGGTTTGATGGCTAAAATAAGAAGAAAAGGTTGAAGTAATATTAAAAATGGGTGGTCAAGGGAGTATTATTGCTGATGATGTTATCATGTTCCTCAGACCTTCCGAAGCAGACCTTTCACTCATTACACAGATCCTTGATCTGTTTGGGCATGTTGCGGGATCTCAAGACCAATATATTAAAGAGTTCAGTCACTCCTATTCAGTGCTCGGAGGAAGATCTTGAGATCATTTCTAATGAATTGTCTTGCAAAGTATATGGGTTTCCATGTACTTATCTAGGCCTTCCTCTCACAATTCATAAACCTACCAAAGCAGCTCTGTTGACTTTGGTTGATAAAGTGGCTGATAATCTCCCGGGTTGGAAAGCCTCCCTCATGAATAGAGCTGGTAGGCTAATTACGGTCAAGGTGGTCCTCGCGGCAATTCCTATTTATCTCATGATGGCAATGGACCTTCCTAAATGACGAAGGAAGGGGTTTTCTATGGAAAGGACAGGAAAATGTTAATGGAGGCAGCTGCCTAGTTTCTCAGGATCGTGCTTGCTGGCCGCTCCAATATGGTGGTCTTGGAATTCACAACTTTGCAAAACTAAGATGGGCTCTAAGAGTGAGGTGGATATGGCTCCAAAAAACCGATCCCACAAGGCCATGGGCTGGGTTGCCCATTCAAGTGTCGCAAAGTGTTCGCACCCTTTTCAACATTGCGGTGGTTACACAATTGGTAATGGTGAGGAGACCAAGCTTTGGACTGACCATTGGCTGCAAGGGAAAACAATTGCGGAATGGGCTCCTAGCCTCTTTCTTTTGATCCCGAAAAAACGAAAGAAGCAGCACAAGCTCTAACTTATGGGTAGATGATATACAAGGAAGCCTCACTATACAGGTTATTTATGAATATCTGCAGCTATGGGACTTGGTGGATGGGTTGATTTTGCAACAAAATGTGTTGGACCAGCATGTTTGGAAGTGCTATGGGTCAGGATCTTACACAAGTAAATCTTCTTAATACTTACTTTGTGGGATCCATCAAATTTGCACCTTGGAAGAGAATATGGAAAAGTTGGGCTCCTCTACGATGCAAATTCTTCACATGATTGGCAGTGAATAACCGATGTTGGACTTCCGACCGTCTTGCCAAGTTCAGGTTGCAACACCCGGATGCATGCCCACTTTGTGATCAAGAAGAAGAAACCATCCAACATCTCTTGGTCAAATGTGTTTTCTCCCGAAAAGTTTGGTTATACATCCTTGAGAAGATAGGAAGGGCGGTGACAGCACCTCAGCCTTCTTCGACTCATTTCTCTAACTGGTGGTTTAAAGCCATCCAAAATGTCCCTAAGGAGGAGAAGAAGGGCCTGAATTCCTTGTTCATCCTAGTGGCTTGGGAAATTTGGAAGCGTCGTAAAGATTGTGTTTTTAATGGGGCTACGCCTAATATTTCAGTGGTTGTTCAAGCCATGGCTAGGGAGAGTACTCTTTGGAGCATTGCTGGAGCCAAAGCACTCCATGAGCATTTTTGTAAGTCGCTACCTCTTGATGGCCAATTCCTCTTAGGGGTTGTTTTAGTGGTGCGTCATGTTGTGACGCATTTTTCCCTTTTTGGGTCTCTTCAGGGATAATTTGGATCTGTCTTGTAAATATTTCTCTTCTTCTTAATCTTCTTCTCAATGAAATGAAGCGCAGTTCTCCTGCGTTTTCTAAAAAAGAAAATAGGTCTAGTGGAGTCCACTCTAAAAATACAATCTTTGTGGAGGCATTTAACTATTTGCCACTTTCAGATTTGGTGTTTAACTATTTGCCACCCCATGCCAATGACATGTGGGTCCAATGGCAAATAGTACTTATTTGACACGGTGGCATTGACATGTCTAGTTAACATTTTTCTATATCCAACTCATGTCTAATTTTGTGAAGGTACTAGGACCAAATTGCTTTTGTTGAGGATTAGCAACTTGTCACATGTAAGTTGTCTAAAATTGCCTAAAACTTCATTTAGACCGAAGGCTTTAAGTTTCTAATTGATTCCACATGAGCGTAAAGATTATTTATGTCAAATGTATCTTTTTTTTCTGCGAATGCCATTTTCTTATATGTAAGTAAAAATATCAAATAGGGTTTGCTCATATATATCCTAAAAACTTTCACGTTCAGACTCATATAGATCAGCAATACTTCTCATACATATAATTTTGGCATTGCAGTATCATACTGGTTCGCGAGCCGGTCAGTCCATTGGTTCATAGTTTACTAGTCCGTGCACTTGTGGTCCAACTGCCAAACCAGCCGGGTCAAAAAATGTTATGTTTAAATAGTTTTCTAAACTAGAATGTACTAAGCCTATATCTAATACAAATTGGTCATATGTATATCATAGTTGTCTACCCTATCAGATAATTATTGTGCCTCGGTTAATTTTGAGCCCATCATGATTCCCGCAAGCTTCTAGGTTTTCCCTGCTATGCAACGGTTTTTTTTCTTTTGCACGGGCCAGGTGCAACTGGAGTGGTCCAGCTGGCAGCAGTGGCCAGACGCGCGAGTAATTGAGTGACACACGGGGGTGCAAGCGTGCACGAGGGGGCTCACATGGTTAGCAAATTACATGGCCAGGTGGACCAAACAGCTGGCAGCAACACCGCCAGCTTTAGATGTACTAATGTTAACATGACATAGAAGTAGTAAATTAGTCACACTGGTTCTAAATATCGATGAGAATTCAAGTTTCAATAAAGCCAAGTGAATGTGAGACATGCTGAGTTGTTAACACTCATTCTGTTCTTTTTTAGGTCGGGTAGAATGAGATTAGTACCTGAGGATTTAATTCACAACTCTGAGAATTGGCCCCTTGTTGGTTTGTTTGCTGTTGAAGGTATTGCTGCATCTGCTGTTGGATAAACTGTTGCTGCTGCTGCTGCTGCAAAACTACCATTTGCTGCTGTTGCTGCTGAAATAGTTGCTGCTGTTGCTGTTGAAATAGCTGCTGTTGCTGTGTCATGTTTTGTTGCTGCTGTGGCATCTGCGAGAGATACTGTTGTTGCTGCAATAATTGCTGTTGAAGTAGCTGCTGCTGCAGCTGTTGCTGCTGTTGATACATCTGCTGCTGCTGCATAAGATACATTTGCTGCTGTTGCTGGAAATAAACTTGCTGCTGCTGCACAAGTTCGCTTTGATGATCCATTTGAGATTCAAGTTTCTGCGGTTTATTTTGTTCATGTCTAGTATCCCCCGAGGAAGGTAACTGACTGTATTTTTGGTCAGGCTGTTGCTGAACTGGCAGTGCATGCTGTTGTAGCTGTAGTTGTTGCTGTTGTTGCTGCTGCTGCTGCTGCTGCTGCTGCTGCTGCTGTACTTGTTGCTGCCAAAGTACCATCTGTTGGTTCAGCTGTTGTACCTGCTGCATAAAATTTTGCTGGAGATGCTCAGTTGGAAGCTGCTGCTGTTGCAGGCTCTGCAACTGCTGATTGTGCTGGGCCTGCAGGTAGTACATCTGTTGCTGGTAGTATTGCCACATCTGAGATGCATACCCCTGCATCGTTTGGAGGCTTTGCTGGTCTCCCTGGTTAGGCTGTGCAAAGATTTGAGCTTGACTCTGCGAGGATGCCTGGACATTCTGAGGAATTTCATAAGCAAGCCCTTGCTGCTGCGTATTTTGTTCAGCCAAAGAAAGCTTGTCGGATTGGTGCATTTGAGAACTAACAATCTGGTGCTGAAGTTGAGCTTGAGATGTCACTGCGGTGCTAGGTGAAAATTGGGAAGATGTGGTAGCTGGTGTAGTTGCCATTTCTGAGCTGGATGGTCTTGCACAGTCTGGCAGCTGTTGTGGCTGTGCAGATTGAACATGCTCTTGACTGAGTGCAGATACTTCCCTATCATGTTGAGTTGCATCTGGACTATCACTAGACTTCTCTATATTTGCGTTACTGAGAGACATATCATCCTTTGTTTCCAGTTGTCCCTGGATTTTATCATGCTTCTTTTCCTCCAACTCAGGAGATATTCGAACTGGATCAGGAGAAGTTTCTTCCTTGGGTAAGCTTGCCACAGATGGAGAATCAGATCTTGGGCATATTGCTCCTTGATCAACACTAGCAGATACATCAATGGTGTTAGCTTTGTCTAGAGCACTTATCTTGGAGAAAGAATTAGATTTGGAAGGAGAATCACAAGTAAATGATTCTGCATGTGGAGCATTCTCACATACAGATGGATGAGATTCTGTTGTCTGATCATTTTGTTCGCATGACTCATGAGTACCGTGTGCACTCACTTGGTTTTGCATTCCAGATTTGTCCAAGTTATGTTGACTATCAGTCATGTCAATGCATTCCTGAGCTGTATCACCAACCTCATGATGCACATCAACATTCCCTAATATGTTCTGCTCTTCTACTGTATGTCCTATTCCTGAATCCACAGTGCTCTTGTCCACTTGCAACCCAACCACTTTATCAACTAGCAGAGAAGTATCACTTTTGGACAACTGTTTCAATGTTATTGCGTCTTTTGGAGAATCATCTTGAGAAACAATATAATTTTCAGTTCTTCTCCTCTTGTTATTCTCTTGCAGGCTATTCTCACTGTTACAATACTGCTGCAACATGTGCCTTGTGTTGTGAGGGAATAGTTTACTGTGCCGAGCCCATGCCTTTCTGAGATCTCTAACATCCCCGTAAAGGTCAACAAACTGCAAGCAGGAGATAACTAAGGCCAGAGAAATAACTTATGCAGGAAGCAATGAACAATTATAAAGACTCTAAGTTTGTGCTGCAAGCAAGTGTACTGAACCTTTCACAAGCATGACTAGCAAAATAGAGCAAACATGAGGCATCTATATGTATGAGTAGTAAAAAATTTGGCTAGAACTGGCACGAAAGCAATAAGTTGTTTGGATAGACTATGGGATAGTTTATACTTTAAGGTGCTAGGTGAAACTTTGGTGAGTAATGGCACAAATAGAAGCTAGAAATTGTCAAACTAAACTCAAAATGAACCATTGAACATTTGTTTCCCCTTCAGAGGATACAATCACTGTTACTAACTACACCAGAACTAAAGTTAAATGACGCGTTTAGTTTATTCTACCCTGAAATTAGATAGCACAGGGTTTCTGCTCATTTCAATGCCAACCAAGAACCAAGAAATAGGGCCATACACCAATGTAATAAGATCCAGTCATCCATGCTAGGTTTGAAGAACCTGCAGATTGGGTTATCTGTCCTGTTATTAAAAATCTAAATGGTGAGGCGGAATGGCAGATCAACCCAACACAATGGCAGGAAGTGATTGCAGTAGTTAATCGAGGAGGTTTACTGTTTAGTGTCTTAAAAACTATAACATATGCACTGAATTGTAACAAGCAAAAGGACGAACATCGAGTCAAAACTCTCTAACCTCCAAAAATAGCAATGAAATATCTTCACGGTCTTCACGACTTAAAACTGTTGATATATCAGATCCAGGAACTACAGCATTAGAAATAACAGAATCAAGTATAGGAATTTCTGTGGGTCCTCCATGTGTACTCATGAACTGCATGAATCCCTGATGAGAATAAAAATACATCAACAGAGCCCCATTCAATAACAAAATAAATAACATAATGGATGTAGAGTCCCGTTGTTTACTCAACACAAGAACAATATTCATTACACAACACACCTTGATCAAAGCTTTACAGGGTGCTTGTTTTATCCCCTCAACAAATACTTCTTTAGCTTCACTAATGTTATGATTTACCTGTAGAATATAGAGCATATCAGCTGAAAAGCAGGAAGATGAATAATGGAAGATGCAGAAAGTAGTTAGTGAAGAATATTGCACAAGAGTATACCCTACATAGGTAATCTGCCAGAACATAAAATAAGTTCCTCATATCTTACCATAGAGGTACACATAGTAATACAGCAAACCCTAATTCCAGTACATTGCAAACCATCATGGAAATGGGAATATATGCTAGAGAGTAAGAAATACAATCTAGTGATCTACAGGTTTCTTTCACATAACACATAAATGATGCCTCTGCGGAAAGCGTGAAATGGCAAATATATTACAACTTATTCTTAACCAAATTCATATGAACATGATATCAGTGACAAAGAACTCTGTTTCCTACCGCATATTTGAATTGTGCAAAATTTGTGTACAAGTCTGGAAGAATTTTAACGTTCTTCTGCATGGCATCCTGAATTGCAGTCTCATATATTTCAGAAGCTGCTTTAGTATTTCCCTGTGAACAATGAATGGTGAGATTGAATGATAATATGATGGAGAGAACATAACTCTTAACCACAGAAAAATCTGGTAGTATACCATGCGTTTCTCCATGTTTGCCAGCCTATTAATGTTCGCACAGAAATTCGAAGTGAGATTATTGCTTCCTTCAATAAAAAGAGAACGAGCACCTTGTGCATCACCAATTTGCTCTTTAAACATCGCATAATACATGTGGAATGTCGGGACTCCCTGCTTGGTGGGAAAAGGCAGAGAAGCTAACATTGATATTCCAAAATAACAAGTGAATAAGCTATAGGCATCTTTCCAGATGGAGAAGACAGAATGCTAACACTGGTTAAATTCATTTTGAGAACTGCATTGTCACACGACTTATATTCTAAAGTTCAATATAGTGATTTCAGAAACAGAATTTACGCTATATTGCAAAGGACTGAAATTGGAAACATATACATCACTTAGTGGGTGGATGATGTTAGTAAATTGAAAAGTCAAAATGGTAAAGCAGTTAATACTATTAGTCTATTACTAACTGAAGGAAAATGTATATAAGCTGCTCAGTTAAATGAAGCAAATGGATTGATTTGGAGGAAAATAACAAAAATTCGAGGCAAAGAACTCAAGAAAACTTTTTTTCACCCACACGATGGAATAATGGCTCATAAAACCCACAGCCAGACAAGTCAGAATTTCGGTTGGTGTTGCTAGTGGTGGCTAATGCATAATAGTGAAAACTTTGATAAAGAATGTCAAAAGAAGCTAAAGAAAAGCTGTAGATATCAGCAGCACCATGAATGGTTTTATGAAATATGATGTTAGGGAACTGTTGAGTTGTTTAAAAGTAACAAATTCAAGTCATGTGAGCACTGAAAATACAAAGAGAAACAAATGAACTGTACTTAGTACCAAAGGTTACTAGATACAAAAAGAAGAGAGATGGAAGAGAAAAAAATTATAGTAGTAAATGGGAACTGAATACCGATGCAAATTTTTATGACCACTGACTAAATACCCATGCTTTGCTATGGATAAAAACGAATTATACACATTTTGCATGATGTTTTGGTATGATAGAATTGCATTCTAAAGATGAATAAGGTATTATGCGGAAGGATTGGTTTATAGTAAGATTGAAGAACATAGAGAAGTAGTAGTTGGTAAGGGTTGCTGCCACCACCACTGCCTTCTTTAAAGAAGTATAGAAATATATCACGAATTAATTGGAGTCTCTGAAAAAAAAAGAGACAATCCAATAGGTGTTTTTGTGGTGTTGATTTTGAAATGCAATTTTAGTGAGGATACACGTGAATACTAGCATTTAGCAAGGACATTATCACTGCAATTAGCTAATATGTGTCATGTTACATGTATTGTGGTTACTGCAATGCATACAATGATGCGCATGAACAGTGGGCCCAGTACAAGGATTGGAAAAACTTTACTGTGTCAATTAAGTTCTCTAGATGTACAAATATTTTATTAATTATGTAGAATAAGGCTAAATTACTTGCAATAGAAATGTTTCTAAAGATGAGGGCAGATTCCAATTAGTCCATTCCTAAATAATAATCGGTATATATGCATCAGATCCTACAACAAGAATGAACGCAGAGAACTCCTGGCATATGCACATCATTTTTTTTAACATCACATCCACTTAAGTAGCCATCATGAACAAAAGATTTAGAATTTAAGTGCTTCCATTTTCTCCATTATGAGGTTCTGAAATCTCTATGCCAAAATGAAAATGATCTTAAAATTACAAAAGGACTACTGGTTCTTTTGTTTGACTGTTACAATAAGGGATAGATAAAAATCTGAATGTGTGCCGGGCTATAGTTATCTGAATTTTGCAGCCATAGCAAGGACAAACAGGAACACAGTACCAGCCCAGAAAGGTAACTTCAAATGTTCATATTTTCATAATATTACTGTTCTGTTTTATGCTATGCATGCAAGTACAGCTGTACAGGTATGCAAACACAGCCAAATAACTGCTGAAAGAGTAAACGAAGTCAATAATAAAAAGTAAAGATAATGAATATGGAGACAGAGGGACTGTTTGGCTTTTTAGCAAGTTTTGCCCAGCTAAGATAGGCCAAACTAGACCAGTTAAGTTAAAACCTAATGACTTGTTTGGTTCTGTTCCTTTGCTCCATAAAATTGAAATAAGATGTGTTTAAGAAAAGGATAACAATCTCTGAGAAACATCATATCTTGTTTTGTTTTGAAATGTTTATATCCAACAGGTATAATCCATGAACTAGATAGAAGATAACTTTGCGTTAAATCGGTTAGCAGTTGTTGGTTTGCTGCCCTTAAATTTGATAGCATGTATGGAACCACTTATTATCACTTATTCCTATTCATTCTCATTTTTCAAAGTTACTGACTAGCTATGGAGACAAGGGACTAAGAACAATTACCATCAAGAAAGTTTTCCCATGCAGGAGAACCGATCTAGCCCTGCCAGCAGCAAGTTTTCCCTACTATTATTAGGCTACTGTTTATTAGTGTCGCATAAAACCCGAAATGGGGCGTGACCAAGTGGTAAGGCAGTGGGTTTTGGTCCCGTTACTTTTTTGGTTGTCCAGGAAAGACTTTATTCCAATCCAAACACACGGAAATAAATCTACAGTGCTTGGCAGTCACCACTACAGATAATGTCATAATGAGTTAACATGAGACTATCTATTATTTTGAATCTCCTTCGAAAACTTTAGCGGTTTAGCCTATAATTTTTGGAATCAATAAAACACGTCTTAATGATAACATAAATTGGTTCTGCATATCCTCTCTTTTTTTAACATGAGTTTAAAAGAATATAATATGTATCGAGACAGTAATTTGCCAAGCAATACCTTCACAAAATATGATGACGCTCGACCAAGAGCATAGCTTGCAATCTCTCGGCCACCCTTAGCATCCACAAATTCCGCATAGCGGATCCAAAATTCAGAATAATTAGCACAAGGAATCAAACACCTCTCATAAAGTTTTACAGCCTGTTATTGAAATGAAAGGATACAATATGTAATCAGATGTTAGGATGGATGAAGCTAGTCAGAATGGCAAAAAATCTACAAGAAAAATACCCAGTCAAAATCGCCCTTCTTCTCAACAAAGTCAAGATACCGGTGCCAGTTTTCAAGCTGGTCATCATCAAGTGGCTTGACATGAAAAAATGGTCTCTTTATGGATGCCTCGAAGCAAGAGATTTCTTTATCGATTTTACTGGACCTTTGGTAGAGACTTTCCCCAGAAAGTAAGTACTGCTTGACTGCATCAGCCCTAAGGTGCCCACTATGTTCATCAAGTAAGGCAGAAATCTTAATTGAAGCATCCACTTCAGAATCCTCAGCCTTTATCACTTCCAAAGTACGCAAGTTTTCTGATGACCTTTCAGCACCAGCAGCCTCATGTTCCATCAAAGTTACCAACTTTCTGAAGCTGATAAGGTTTGCAACAAAAAAATAAAAGGGAAAGTCAGACTTTTAACAATTGGCACATTGACAGACTTTGTTACATGCAATGTTCTGGCATCTAACTGCCCTAGGTGTTGACTGCAACTCATACAACTACAACTACCAAACAGTTTGGATCTATTGACCATCCTAGTACATGTTTTTTAACATTTCAGTGCAAGGTTATCATTTGCTATGATCTTCAGAAGGTGGCTTTGGATTATAACAAACACAGCAAATCCTTGTCTAACATTGAGAGAGAAAAATAGCATCCATTGCAGAGAGTAAAAAATGGGCTGTTAAGGCTGTCTCTACATTAATTACCATCTATCTATTTGCCCATAATAGTATTACCGAATTGTTGTTGTTCATATTGATACCATCAGCAAGCACTAGTTTTTCATTAAAGAAAAACGAACACGATGCTACCACATGACACAACCAGAGACCTAAACATCTCAGAAATGGTAAAGAAAAAACAGTATTGTGTTTGAGGTTTATATATATATTTACTCATGAACCAGGCCAAGATCAAGGATTAAAAGTTTCATTGGATTTAGGATTGGAGTCAACAGCTGCTGTGGATTGGTGCCATGGGATCAGGTACCCAAAAAGCTCTTGGCAGAAACCACATCCAGTTAAGATGTGCACCTAGCAGGCTAGCACTAATTCCAACTTTCCTAGTTAGTTTAGATTGATATCTCTATTTTTTTCGGTTCATCTACAGTTTCCAGGTTATATATGTTACCTATATATGAAGGTAGTCTGCTTGTATGAGGGGAAGGGAAGGATAAAACCTTGTAAAGGCATTTCCCACCAAAACAGCCTATCAGAGTCCTAGTTGCATTGGGGGAGAAATCCATGTGATGTGACAAGGGGAGTTCAGCCCTATGTTTTTCTTGTGTATCCTTCGTAATAACAGCGATGATAAAAGGAGGAACGGTATAGAACTAAAAGGTATAAGATATGGATCAAAAGATCAAGAACTACATGTTGCAATGGTAGCCAATGTGATATATAATAAGATGATATTATTGATATACCTCTCATAGTACCGACGCAACTTCTTTGTAGGAAATTTTAGGGTGTCAATATAAATTGTAGCAAGCTGAATTAACTGCTTTTGAGATTTTTCAAATTCTATGTACTTGTCCCATAGGTGATAGCACAAATAATCCTTCCCAACAAGAGATAAAGCCCTTTCGAATAATCTGCAAAAATTAAAAAAAAAAGTTTAGTTGATGGAGTAAACTACAGCAGAAACGTGATGAGACATATCACAAGCTGGCCTGATCAGAGAAGGACCACCTGAAAATCACTGCAGGCTATTTCAACATTGCATTTTATGGCATGTATATCAATTTCCGTATATTCCGGGTCAACTTGACCAGGTATGTTTCACAATCAATAGTGTATCCACAAAAGTCGATAGTTCATTTGGTGCAAATTTTCCCTTCAAGCACAAATTTTCCCTTCAAGCACACAGAGATTAAGAGATAGAAGGCCTAGTTCGCCACTTCATCAAGCAGCACCAAACGAAAACAACCCAACCAAAAGTTTCATGCTAGAAGTATATGCATATGCAAACATTCCTGACCTATTTTCTTAGCACCAAGTTACCAACCAATCAGTAAACACATAGTATTTCTGCCATTAACCTTTCTTAAACATCTTGGAACCTTGGATAAATAACACATAAAACTATTATTGCTGGTTCAGGTAATACATCAGTTTAACTATTTAGAAAAGGGTTTTAACTATTTAGAAAAGGGTTTTATCATGACAACTTTATTTGAAAAATGCTTCCTCTTGTCTTCTCTCAATCACAAAACATAGATACTATTGCATCATCATTAGAATTGTTTGCATAGAGATCAAAGGAACTAGAGAAGATTCAGGTGCATCAGAAATTTTTTTACTTCAACATCTAAAGAAGAAAATGTTTGGCTTCAAAGCACAGATTACACATGTTCTTTTTTTTTCGATTTCACCTTCTAATATGAGCAGGCTCTTCATATGTGCACATAGCAAATCCACAATAACTGACCCAAAGATCAATAGAGTGAGGCACTGCTTGGACTGCTTGTTCATACACCTCCTCCACCTGTTTGTTTGTGCATAGTCGTGCTTTGTGGGCTGCATACTTGATCCAGTAGCCATAGCACAAAGGAAATTCCAATAAGAAGCTGTGGTACACCAAGTCAATAACCTCGATGTCATTCTGAAAGAATGCAAACATCAAAAACCAGAGGCTGGCTTAACATAGAATGACAAGGGAATTAAAGAAAAACAAATCATATTTCCAATTTATGTATGCAGATGTAAAGGAGATGTGATATTAAATTACATAAACAAACTAAAGTGAAAAGGAAACATTTCACTAACCATTGAAGTTTCTTCAGCAGCTTTAATTAATGACACCCAAGCATCAAAGTCGTGTCTGTTGCTATCACGTAATGACTGAATGGTGTTCTTCAAAATATCTGGTATGTAAAAGAATACTCTAAGTCCAGTGCATTCTTGAAATGCAAATCAACCATCAATTACTGTCAACTAACTGAAAGACAAGATATAGGAAGCTTTCCTGAATTCATATCATAAAGTAAATGATAGTGTAACATTATCCTAAATCCTACGGGACTAGAAATCCTTGGTGTATAATCATATTCCAAATTTTCAACTCCTCTGTCACCAGACATGGCCCACAATGTTATTCGTATGACTTGATCTGGGCACAACCTAAATATAAGGATAAAATTTTGATGGTTTGAACCAAGAAATTGTACGCAGTGGCTATGCAGTGAAACATGCCAACAACAAAGCCCTAAAAAAACCAACTCATAGGGCTTGAAGTGTCGACTGCTGAAGCCAAGCCCACAAGCATCCGCACAACTCCACATTCTCTCAGCTTCATAAACAGGAACGAAGAGCGCCCTGCTCCTCAGCTAAAACAAAAACTCACATCAACCCCCCGTAGGTTTGGATTCGGATGGCTCCTCCAAGCTAGCCTAGATCGCAGGGCACGCGGTTCACGAATTCGGAAAAAATCTTGCTGAGGAAAAAAAAACTCACAACCAACTGGAGCTCACAACGATTTTGAACTAATCCTAACCCCTCGGACAAAAACCCCCCACACCCCCAGCGACTGGGCTCACCTAGCTGCGACGGCAAGGGCTCCGGCGCCGGCGCGCCGGCCCCGGGCTGCTCCTCCTCCTCCATCTCCGCCGTCTCCGGCGGCGCTAGGGCGGCGGGGTCGGGGGAGTCGAGTCGAAGGGGGCGGCGTTTGCTTAGCCTACACGGCGGCCCAGCCCTTCCCCTGCCCGTTGCTTCGGTCGGTGGTGCTGTTCACACTTCACACCCTCGTTGATGGGAATAGAGGAGGAGGAGGAATAGAGGGTGGGCTGGTGGGCTTGGGAGGCCCGACCCAATCGTTGATGGGATGGGCTGTGCCGTCCATGGTCTGGTCTGTAACAGTGGGAATAACGTTGAGTTTGAATAACGTCCTTCAACCGTAATACCATGTATAATGTGTTCCTTAACTCTAAAAACTAGTGCAAACAAAATCTTAAAGATGGTTTGGACAGTGGTTTTAGCTGACATGGTATTACATGGCTGGTTTGACTTAGTCGTCATCCCACGTGGTGTTGGCGTCGCACTAAAAGCAAGATTAAAAAAAATTAAAAGTAAGAAAAAGTGGGGGTCCACCTGTCAGCCTAATAAAAAGCTAAAAAAAAGTGGGACACACGTGTCAGTGGGTCACCCCCTCTCTCCTCCTTCCTCTACTCAGTGGGACCCCACATGTCGATGTCCAATCTCTTGGTCCGGCTTGTTGCCGTTGTCGGGGCCCACGAGGAAGAGGGGGCCATGGATGCAGATCGTGAGCAGCGACGCAAGGTGGATAGGCTGGCGAGCGGAGAAGGGGCGATAGGATCCAGCTCTTGGGGGCAAGACCGGTGGCAGGAGATGGAGACAGGGATTGAGCAGCTGAGCCGGCGGTAGCCTCTAAAGGAGCCAAGGGCATGGAGGAGAAAGAGATGAGGGAGAGAGAAAAAGGGGAATAAGCACTAGTCCCATCACTGGCCGCCATCCTCCTCTCCTGGACTTGCTCCTGCGCCCCAACCAGTAGATGCGCATATCTTGCCATGGCAAGCCCATTTATGGCGCCAATGGGCACGATGTCTCAAGCTCAGTTGGGGGTAGGGAAGCTTGTCCTCCGAGCACGCCGCCGTCGGTTACCGAGGTGCATTCGCTCGTTGGCTCTCCCATCGTGGCATTGAGGTCAGCCACGGGGTGGGGCTCCGCTGCCACGTCACACCGCCCTTCTCCTCGCGCTAATCATCCTTGAGAGATTGGGAAGAGAGGAAAGAAAGGGGAAGAGAGATGAGGAAGAAGATTGGGTCACTGACACGTGGGCTCACGTGAGGGTCACACTGACTCAGCTCATCACGTCAGCCGAAAACCGGGTAAAATACTGCCTAGGACCTCTAGTGCTTTGGTATTGTGTTGAAGGACATGTTATGTCTAGTTTTATAGATCAAGGACTCAATTCAAACTCAACGATAAGACAAGTGACCAAATGTGAACTAATTCTTCAATAGTGTGAATCAGAAAACAAACCGCAAAGATGAACTACATACAAAGAAATTAAAGGGAAAAGTTTTGTTTATGTCCCTCAAATTATGGGTTGAGTTTCAATTGCATCCTTCAAACGCAAAACAGGGTGTAGATTATCCCCTTTGCCAAAACCGGCATAAATTATGTCCCATGGTATTTTTTTTTTGAATTTTTTAAGTGTGTGTTTTGTTTGACTTGGTCTTTATCCTATGTGGCAGTGTGGCACTAGAGATGGGCACAAATTAAACGGACACCGAACCGAACCAACCAGAAAATGTGTTTTTTGCAGTGCTTGGTTTCTGTTGACAGACTATGCTCGCCTATGATATTTGTAGAGTATGGAAAACGTTGGAACTAAGTTATACGCGATGACGTATTAAGAACACAGGAGACAAATATTTATACCAGTTCGAGCTCTCAAGATGAGTAAATAAGATTACTCTATTTTTTTATGTATATCTCGGAAAATATGTCACACGGATTACAATGAAGGAGTGGGATGGTTAATCTAATCAGTCAACTAGGATCCACCGAGAATGACTCAACAGGATCTAATCGACGACTAGGGCTTCGGCTTCCTCCGAATTATATATTGATATGGCTCTAGCTATGGCTTGTAATTTAATACCCTCCCTTCCACAAGGGACTTTGTATTTATATCGATGATCATCTTCTTCTCCAAGTAGAACTCAGAGAACTATGACAAGATACGGGGTAAGGAGACCTTGTCTCCCTTGAATAGTACTTTGACACCTTCTATATCAAGAAGACAATTTCCTTATAAATTCGTTGTATTACCTTAATCAAAGTATACATTCCCGTATATCATTAGGTATATGGTACTTCCGTATAGTACGAGCCTAAGTATAGAAGGTGTGTCTTATCCTTAACACTAACTGTTTCACATTGATTTTGTTTTGCACCCAGATTGGTCTTTGGTGCTTCGTTCGGTTTGTACAAACTCGAAATCAAGTAGGTCGGAGAATCAACCCATGCTCCTTATTTTCTTGCTAATGCCCCAGGCCCATAAAGACAACCCTATGCAATATCGTGCGGTTACCACATGGTTATTGCAATTACCACGTGCAATAACCTTCTCACGTTTTCGTGGTAAACTGCTATACCATCAGGCACCAGGCAACGGCAACCTTAACCCAAAATGAGAAGTGAACCCCGATTCCCTACAAGTCCCAGCTCTTCCATTATGCGTGTCTCACGCTCGTACACGCGGCTACCGATGGCTTCACGACCCTTGGTGAGTGGCGACTAGTGGCTCCCTCTGTGAGGGTCCTGTACTCCTTCCGCCGCACCGTTACTACCAATCATGTTCCGAGCCCTAACCACTAGCGTCATCTGTCCACACCCTCCACTATTCACCCTATATGTACCTCCCACCATAGCCATTGGCATCGTCTTTATTGGCATAGTCTGCGCCACCCTCCAGTCCTCCACCACCACTATGTTTCACCTTCCTCACCCCTAGCTCCTCCCCTTCTCCCAGTGGAGAAAGTTCGATGAAAATGGTTGAAGCCAAACACCAAACCAAAACTAGATCGGCTTGCTTGGCTCGATATATTTTTTTTCTCGTTGGTTAATTTACTTATCATTTATAAACAATAAAAACAAAGATGGACCCACACATCAATGGGTGACCAATTAAAAAATAAAATAAACATGCGAGACCCACCACTACAACAAAACCATTGTTTTAAGACGTTTCACTTAAGTTATTCTATAAGTCGTATCTTTTTTATAAGTGAAATTGAAATAGGGACGATGTTTGAGACGTTTTATTAGTTGAGGACATAGTTTAAGACGCTTTACATGTTAGCACAAAATTAAATCGTTTAGAGACGAATATTGAGACGTTTTTGGAATGTCTCATGTGTAGAAATGAGTTTTGAGACGTTTTTATTATATCAGTGTCATCGTTATTAGATAATATATAATTATTTATATAGAAAAAGAAGAAAATAAACACACTGTTCCTAATCGTCATCATCAAATACCATTATAATAATATTATAATTATTTGGAAAAAAATAAATATTTAATAGTCTTATATTAAAAAAGAAGAGTACTGCTACAGGACGCATGTTTGCAGAGTTGCAATATAAAAAAACTATCTATTTACCTTCAAGATTGTCACGTTAATGACTTGGTTAGTGCATGAACTTTGCAACCTGCAGGTGCTGTGTTCGAGCCCAGATGAAAGCATTAATATCAAATATATTAAGATGTGCGTGCCTATATAAAAGCGTCTCTATATTTTGTAGAGATGCAATTTACACGTCTCTAGCAACGTTTTAAATAATATAGGTACGAATTTTGAGACGGTGCAAATAGAGACGATCCTATGACGCTTTATAAAAGCGTCTCAGTTATCTGTGGGAGACGAAATAAAACGTCTCTATCTTACCAATAAGATTTTGGGTTGTTTTGTTGTAGTGCACTATCATTGCGCATCTTCTCTCCCTGTGTAGGGAGCTCACCGGCCTCTCTTCCTCCCTCCTTGGTGTC